GGAACACAGTATGATTAGTAGAAGGGTCCTTCCAGTGTACTTATATGTAGCGTGATGCCATCTGTTAGCCATGCCCCTGATGACATCTGTTGATGATGAAACACATTGGGCATCAACACAGCTTGTGACGTCACCACATGCCGACACAGACCGCCGACATCTTGTTGGTTAAAAACTTGTATTGAAATTCATGACATGCTGGATTTTGCTTGGATTGTTGTAAGTGCAATACGTTTATTAAATTTAAAGCTTGCTGGTTTGTTACACTATGAGATGGTCTATTTCTCTTTCTTGATACATACCATCATTTAATGTATACCATCTTTTTTTTAATTTAAATATTTATTGATTTTTCACAGTAATAACAAAAATATTTTCATCTCATTCATAATAAATATACAATTATTTCTTATTACTTTATTTTTCCCCTTCTTAAAACAATACCCCCTACCCCTCCCCCCCCGGAAACCCTCCCACTCTGCATTTTTCACTATCTTTTATCCAAAGCAAACATATCTTACCCATCTATCCATTCTATGATTTTCTACATTTCACTTCCTCACATTTGCTACAAAGTTTTCCCATTTTTTCCCATTTCACGGAATATACCTCTAACTTGTCTTCCTGTATATAATATAGCTTCTCCATCTTACTAATCCAGTTTACTCTTTCTATCCAATCCTCCTCTTTCGGTATTTCTACTTTCTTCCAATACTTGGGGATCAGGCTTTTTGCCGCGTTCATATAGTACCCTAAACCTAATTTTCTTATATTTGCTAACTGATAGCTCTGAGCTATGTAACAGACACATCCCTGGATCTAACCCGATGTTTACTTCAGTAATGGTCTCTATTAAATGTACTATTGTTTTCCAGAATATTTGAGTTTTTGGACATTCGGACTAAATGTGATACACTGTCCCACTTCCCCGCATTCTCGCCAACACCACTGTGATTTCTCCCCACTTATCTTGCATTCTACACTCGGAACAATGTGCCATCGTGTCAAACATTTATAATTTATTTCTACATCCCTCAAACTTACATTTTCGTGAACTAATCTGTTTATTTTTTTTTTGTTTTTCTTCATCTAATACCACCCCCATGTCACTTTCCCATTTTACTATGTGCACTGGTTTAGTATTTGTGTCTAATTCCGTAAGAATTCTATATATTTTAGCTGTTCCGTGTTTCCCATCCCCCCGTGTATCCAACAACCTTTCAAACAAATTCCAATCCTTTTTCATTCTCAAAGGTTTTGGGAGATTTCCCCAAAAACAATTTAATTGGTGATAACGCCACTCATCTAACCTGGTGAAGATCTTTCCCTTTTCCTTTTCCATATCTTTAAAGGGCTTCGGTTTCCCCTCCCCCATTATATCTCCTAATTGTACATCTTCCTTTTTAAACCATTTACCTGTTATCTCCTCTCTACCTAGGGGAAAAAAAATCTGTGTTTCTTAGTGGCATTAATATAGAATTAAATTCCCATTTCATATATTTGTGTATTTTATCCCATTCCCTTAAAACATTTACAGTGTACAAACTTATATCCTCCTTCAAACCTCTAAATTGTGCCGGTAACCATATAACTCTGTTCAAATTATTTCCACTAAGTGCATTTTCTATTTTTACCCAACTTTTCCCCTCTAAATTGAACATCCAGTCAAAAATTCTCCCTAATGTTACTGCTTTGTAGTATCTCTTAATATCTGGAACTCCCAGGCCTCCCTTCCCTTTATCTCTACTTAGTATTTCATATGATACCCTCGGTTTTTTTATTCCTCCAAATATACAGTATCTGGTTATCATTCTTTTTATTACTTTAAAGAAGGCTTCTGGGAGTTTAATTGGTATCATTTGAAATCTGTATAAAATTTTCGGTACTATTATAATTTTTACCAGGTTTATACGTCCTATCCATGATGGAATTCCTTTTTCTAAAGTTTTTATTTCCCCCTTCACTTCATTTACTAATGAAATATAGTTTAGTTTGTATAGGTTCTTATATGCCGCAGTAAGTCTTACTCCCAAATATTTTATATCTCTTTCTTTCCAAATGAAGGGAAATTCTTTTTGTATTTTCTCTTTTTCTCTTTTTGGGATATTTATAGTTTTAAGATCTCAGTTTTTGTTGGGTTAATTTTTAAATTTGATAGTTCCCCATATTCCTTCAACGATTTCATTAGGTTTGGTAGTGTTATCCTGGGATTCCCCACATAAAACAATAAATCATCCGCAAAGGCCGCCACTTTGTGCTCTATATCTCCTATCTGAATTCCCCTTATATCCCCATTCCTCCTTATTGTTGACAGTAAAGGTTCCAATGACATAACATACAATAGGGGGGACAAAGGACAGCCCTGTCTTGTTCCATTTGACATTCTAATGGGCTCTGTTTTTTCCCCATTTACTATTACTACTGCAGAAGTCTCCCTATACAACTTTTTTTATCCATTCCCTCATTCTAACTCCAATTCCCATAGCCTCCAAGGTATCCATCATGAAGCCCCAATCTACTCTATCAAAGGCTTTTTCGGCGTCGATTGACATAACCACCGCCGGCATCTCCTCTTTTCTACTTTTCTGAATAAGCATCAGGGATCTCAACCCATTGTCCCTACCCTCCCTTCTTGGGACAAAGCCCACCTGATCTCCATGTATCCATTTAGGCATAAACTCCTTCAACCTGTTTGCCAAGACCTTTGCATATAACTTGGTGTCTAAGTTCAACAGTGAGATTGGCCTATAGTTAGAACACTGAGGCGTCTTTTCCTTCCTTCTGTAATAATACCACATGAGCCTGTAATGATTCTCTCCTCATATCGATCTCTCCTCCCAGGGCATTCATATATTTTTTTCCAATTTGGGGGTCAGTTGTTCACTAAACTTTTTATAATACCTCGCCGTGAAACCACCCGGTCCTGAGCTTTTCCCCGTCTCTGTGCTTTTTAGGGCTATTTTTATTTCTTCTTGTGTAATTTCTGCTTCAAGGGAGTTTAATTGATCTTCTCTTAATTTCAGTAGACCCGCATTTTTTAAATATATCTTTCTTTTTTTTCTATTTTCCATTTCCCTATTATTTACTGCGTCATAGGGATTGATATTATACAGCTTTCTATAATAATCCATGAATACCTTTGCAATCTCCTTATTTGAATGAACCGGTTCTCCCTTAGGGTTTTTTATTTTATCGATATAATTCCTATTTTTCTTTTTTCTTAAGGCTCTCATTAGAAATTTTCCCGGCCTATCTCCCCATCTATATCTCTCACCTAGCACTTTGTTATAGACTCTCCTTCTCTCCTCCTCCTCCATCAAGGTCTCTAACTCCCCTTTTTTTTTATTATCTTCTGCTTTATTTCTTTTGCTATACTATTTTTATGTGTCTCTTCCAAATCAGATATATCCTTTAGGAGCCTACTGATTTTCTCTCTCCTTTCTCTTTTCTTTCTTGCCCCAACTGAAATTAGGATACCTCTTATGTATGCCTTATGAGACTGCCATACTGTAGCTATTGATACATCCTCTGTCTCATTCTCTCTAAAAAAATCTCTCAATTTCTTTCCCAATCCTTTGGGTGGTATCTTTATCAAGGAGAAGTGCTTCATTCAACCTCTATCCCACCCCCTCCGTTTTCCTCCTTCCCCATCCCATTCTCAACACGACAGGGGCGTGGTCTGAAAAAGTCATTGCTCCTATATCTACTTTGACCATTGATTCTAAAAATCGATGTTCTATCAATATATAGTCCAACCTTGAGTACGTCTCATGTGCATTTGAGAAGAATGTATAGTCTCTGTCCTTCATATGCATAATTCTCCATGCGTTCACCAATTGAAACTCATGGATCGTCTTCTTTAATAATCTCAGAGATCTATTTCCTTCACGTTGCACAGAAGAGGTTGTATCATTTTGTGGGTCCATACAGAAATTAAAATCCCCGGCTAATATCAAACAGCCCTTTTTAAAATCCATCAGTCTTTTTAACACACCTTTCAAGTACATCTCCGGTTTCTTATTTGGACAGTATACATTCGCTACTGTACACTCCACCTCTTGTATTTTACCTTTCAAAAACATATCTCCCCTCTGGGTCCTCTTTTCTATCCTCCAACTCAAAATCTTATATTTTTTCTGAAACCCTATTGCCACCCCTTTAGCTCTCCTGATTGGGGAATCTGCATAATACCATATTGGATAATCTCTAGATTTTAATTTAACCTTAGATTCTATCTCGAGATGTGTTACTTGCAAAAAAAACCACTGAGGCCTCTCTATGGTGTAGTTCTTTAAATAGCCTAAATCTCTTCCCAGGGCAATTCAACCCTTTTACGTTATATGTAACCACTTGTAGTTCTTCCATCTTATTTATATCCCTCTTTTCCTCTACCATTCCTCCTCCTCTTTTCCTTTGCTTTGGTACCCCTCTTAATCCTGCAGAGTATTATCCCTAGTATCAATACCCCTACCCCCTCCCCCCCCCTCCCATTTTTAGGCGACTGTTATACCTACTATTCATTTGTGGGGACCCACTCCCCACCTTTGAATTGTTACTAAGGGTCACAACTCCGCCCATGAACGGCTCCTCCTCCCTCCACCTCCCCAGTACCCTCCATTCTTTTATTTACTCATTGTAGTTCCAAGTGCCTCTTGACACACTACTAAATATCTTTCTATAAGGAAGACTAAAGGGCCAGGAAGAAGAGAGAGAGAGACATGAGAAAAAAAAAAAAAAAAAAAAAAAAAAGGGGGAACTTTATCTCATAACCCTCTCTCCCTCCCCCCCCACTTCATTTCTCTGGCAGACAGCCAGTCCTCTTGTCAGGAATGGACTGGCCAGCAATGGTGGGACTCACCTGCCTTTTGATCTGCAGTACCAGGGCTGGCCAGCGGATGCTCCCAGCAATCAGAGACTCAACTTTGCAGCCAGCTAACACCTGGAACTGATTATGCTGGGGTATTTAAGGGATGGCCAGACCCACAGACTCTGCCTTGGTGTTGTGTTTCTCTTGGGCCCTGTATCCTGTATCCTGCCTCCCCGCCCGGCGCCTGACGCCCCGCCCGGGGGCCCGCTGCCTGCTGCTTCTCCTGGTAGCCCGATGTGCCTCTGCCCGGAGTCCAGCCCGATGTGCCTCTGCCCGGAGTCCAGCCCGATGTGCCTCTGCCCGGAGTCCAGCCCGATGTGCCTCTGCCCGGAGTCCAGCCCGATGTGCCTCTGCCCGGAGTCCAGCCCGATGTGCCTCTGCCCGGTGTGCCTCTGCCCGGAGTCCAGCCCGGTGTGCCTCTGCCCGGAGTCCAGCCCGATGTGCCTCTGCCCGGTGTGCCTCTGCCCGGTGTGCCTCTGCCCGGTGTGCCTCTGCCCGGTGTGCCTCTGCCCGGTGTACCGCTGCCCGGAGTCCTGCCTGGTGTGCCAGTCTTTGATATCCCGCCAGTTACCAGACCCGGGCGGTGGAACATTTTTCCCAGCTAGGACTGTTTGGAGCGTCCTGAGGCCGCTCCTTGAGGGGGGGGTACTGTCAGGAATGGACTGGCCAGCAATGGTGGGACTCACCTGCCTTTTGATCTGCAGTACCAAGGCTGGCCAGCGGATGCTCCCAGCAATCAGAGACTCAACTTTGCAGCCAGCTAACACCTGGAACTGATTATGCTGGGGTATTTAAGGGATGGCCAGACCCACAGACTCTGCTTTGGTGTTGTGTTTCTCTTGGGCCCTGTATCCTGTTCCTGCTCTCTGTTCCTGTCTGATTCTCTGCTGACCCTGCTCTGATCCCTGGCTTGTCTGACCATCCCTCTGCCTGACCCTCTGTACTACGCTGCTTGCTACCTGTTCTGATCCCTGGCTTGTGACCCTGACCATCCCTCTGCCTGACCCTCTGTACTACGCTGCTAGCTACCTGCTGAACCTGGCCTGTGACCCCGACCATTCTCCGCTTGCTCCCCCTGTACCTACCTGCCCAATTGATATTGACCCAGCCTGCCTGACGACGCTTGCTTGTATGTACTGTTATCTGTGGGTGGTTGGTTTGGTTTGGTTGCACTGTATTATGTTTAGTATTGCACTGCGTTTATGTTTGTATTGTTAGTGTTAATAAATTATATTGTTTATCACATATCTGAAGTCTGCGTTTCCCTGCGTCAGTCACACACCTCTGGTCACACCTGGGAGCCCTGACACCTCTTGTCTCATTTTTCGTATCTCTCCTCTTCCTCCCATCCAACAATCTCCATTCTTTGTAACTCCAGTTTTTCACAAAAGTCTCTCAGGTCTTCCGGGAATCTCAAATAAGCTGTAACTCCATCTTTCCATCCAATTAAACACGCTGGGGTCCCCCATCTATAAAACACGTTCTTTTTCCTCATCTGCTCTAGAAGGGGTTTTAAAGATCTCTTTCTCCACAGAGTCTCAGGTGTAAGATCCGCATATATCTGGATATCCATTTCTCCATAGCTAATTACTGCTTTTCCTTTAATCTTTCTCCAGATTGCTTCTTTATCTCCATATTTGTTAAATTTAACAATTATATCCCTTGATATATATTATATCCCTTTCCTATTCTCATGACATCCTCCAAATCAATCACCTCTAGGGCAGGTCTGTCCATTATGGAGTTTAAAATTTTTCCTACTATTTCTTGCAATGTTTCCCCTTTTGTATTTTCTGGAACTCCTTTTATCCTAAGATTACTCCTCCTGTCCCAATTTTCTTGTACCTCTATCTTATATATAATTTTTTTTCTGTATTTTCCCCATGTTCTTTAATTTCTTTTCTATTTCCTCGATGTTTTGAGCCTGATTTTTACTTTTCTCCTCCATTTCTTCCACTCTCCTCAACACCTGCCCCAGGTCATTTCGAATAGTTGCCATTTCTTGTTTTATTATTTTCTCTAGATCTTTAAACATCTCTGCCATTTCTTTTTTATTTGGTACTTGTAGTTCACTTTCATTCTCACTCCTCTCCATGGCTCCTATTGTTTGTTGACTACTAATATTTAGTCCCAGCGATAGTCTAGGACTACTTTCCAAACTAATGTCCCCTTCAGCTTTTCCGTTTTTCCCTTGAGATCTTTCTGGGGTTACTTTTCCCTGGGATGTATACTGTTTAATCGTTCCTGTTTGGGACTGTTTTGGCCCACTTCCTTTACTGCTTTTGTTCTTCATTTCTTTCATGGGCCTTACTCTCCTTTATACATAGATGGTTCACATAAATATAAAAGGTCCCAACCTAGCCCAATTAATAACCGATTTTTCCTCCTCTTTTAAGTTACTTAATCTTCTTTTCTTCCTTTTTCCTTCTCTCCTCTTCTGTTATTTCAAATGCCCCAAAGGAATCCCCCTTTTCTCCTCTTCACCCCTTATTTTCCTCAACAGCACTATGGGTCATTAAAAACAGTTCCAGTCTCTTTCACTCATCCAAAATCACTTGTCCCTTGCTGTGAAGATGGTAGGGGTCTCCGAATTCCACCTCCTCTGCACAGGTATCCAGCTCCTCTGCACCTTGGGGGGATTCCACAGGGCCACTTCTCTTTCCTTCTCAATTTCCTTGGAGATCCTCCACAGAGTGACTCTTGCCAGGTCCACACCTCAATGCTCAGCCAGCCAGGGATCCGACTAGGGAGCCGTATGCATGGGGAACAGCACGCATGGGGAGCAGTACACCTGGGGCAGAAAGCCGCCTTCTCCCATTCTCCTCACACCGGCCGGCTTCCTCCGCTCCCAGTGCTCCTTTGCGGTTGGGCATGTGACCCAACCCGCTCTCTTCCGATTCCCAGAAACCCGGCTCTTCGATCCGCCGGACTTCGGGCGGACCTCTTCCCCCTCGTGCCAGCCCAGCGCCTCCGCTCTCCTGCCGAGCACCCCCGGCACTCAGTTACAGACTCTCTGTGGTAGGATTTGCTTTCTCTCCATTTAGAGGGCCCCTGGGAAAGTCAGTGGAGGAGCTTTGCTGAGAGCTCCTACACCAAGCCCTCAGCCGCCGCCATGTTCAGGCTCTAATGTATACCATCTTAAGAAGAATTGGGGCTTATCAATTTTGGGTCCGAAGAAGTGTGTACTCATGGTGAACTGATTGTCGGCTTTTGCTCAAGGTTTAAAGTTGCGCAATTTGACCGTTTTTGTGGTCAAACCTATCCGGTAAGAAACTGCACAATTGGGGTGATGGTAGAGAATACCACTATCTGTCATTTTTTTCTTATGATTATGAGCACCACTGCTTATGGACTCAATAGCCTGTTAGTTAAAATACACCACTGCCGCTAGAGACAGTAAATATCTCCTAAGTGTGCTGTCCATTGAGAGAGCTGTGCCACTGCTAAGGCTCCCACACGCATGCGTAACAGTGACGTCATCGCGACCCGACCAGTCAAATAGCCGCAGCCCCTGAATCTGGAATTAGGACCAGGTGAAGATGGAAGCCCCAGGGAGCTGAGACAGTGCTCCTCTGGAGGGCTTCTTTCTCAAGTAAGTCTTTCATAATGTTCTAGTATGCAATACATACTAGTATGCGATGCATCTGAAAGTTTGGTACAAAATTAACAATCTTTTCTTTAATGTAAAGAAGACAAAGGAGATAATAGTGGACTTTAAGAAGACTAACTAGGAAGACTGAAGTACCTTCAACCATTGGCTCATTATGATCCTATTTTTGTCCTTTTCCATTCACCAGTTGCCCACACCTAGCCCTTATCATTGCTTTCCAGAATGACAGCAGGGCCTCTGCAGCTAAATCTCTCCCATTGTAAGCTGCAGTGTGTAGAAGGAGGATATGTGAGCTGAACTAGATTTGGAACTTCTTTAGTCTGTCATTCTTGAGTATTTGATGTACTTTAAGTAGCTTGCAGCACATGCTTTCCTGCTTTTAGCTTTTCACTTGTTCCATTTTTACTATTTAGTTTTATGCTAAACAACCATACATTGCAAAATCTGTTATGTTCGGCTTTATATGCTTGAAATCTGAACACCCATATTTTGTGCATTTGCTGTACGTTGGGCTGCAGCATTGTATTATGCTATTATCTGCTACTGATATACTGCCTTTGTAAAACTTTATTTTATAATTTGTTCATTGCCAACTGTTACAGATCTTATTTCAACTGCATTATGTAAATGTATGGATAATGTATAAATTAGTTTTATATGCTTGTTGGAAGCTTGAGTGTCACAAGGTAGAACAGTATGAATAGCTGTCAATGAACTTTACACATATTTTTTCCTACCCTCTTAATTATAAATGAGGTCTTCTACATCTGCTTAAAATGTTTATCTATTCAAGTAGTTTTCATAGCATAAAATTTTGTTAGAGGAGAAGAAGGATTCAATGCATTTGACAGTTTAGCAATATCATGTATAATTGAATATCTGACCTCAATTAACCTGTTCAGATCAAAATTGAATGGCTTACTCTATTCGTTTGGCTCGTGTCTAAATTATATTTTAGGAATTTGATTTTGCTTGCAGTGTATTCTCTAATTTAAAGTTGCTCACCTGAAAAAAAAAAAAAAAAAGATCTTTGTGTTGAAAAATGTAAAGCTAAGCTTGTTTCTTAAGCAACAAAAAAACAAATAACGGTCAGCGCTTTTCATTTTTGCACGGTGACATCACATTTTTGTGGCAGTATAAATTAGGTTTTGTAAGTTGCAGCATCTGGAGGCAGTTCTGCTATAGGTTTATGATCACTGAAGCAACCATAAGCTTATAGCAGAAGGAGGAATATAGCCAACTTAAGGCACACTGACATGGCTACAGTAAATGTCTTATGTTGGTGGCAACAAAAGGGTTAAAGTAATCTAAACCCAAGAACAAAAATGTTATATATTTCAGCTTACCACACCATAGATGTAGTGGTTTTATTTGTTTTAATTTTTAGGTTAAGAACATTTTTAGCAAGTTAAGAAAATACGTGAAATCTGCATCCTTTGAGATGCGATAGAAGCAGGAACAATGTTATCTTTCTTTCCAATTGAATTCTAGTCCATAGCTACACTGGAGTGAGAGCAGCTGCCTAGTACAAAAAGTGTGGTTTTGGGTTTAGCTTTAATCTAGCTTATAACCTAAACTTCAAACAAGTAATTCTGCATTATTGAGCACACTGATTATTGACTATATTACTTCTTGAAATCAGAATTTAGGCACCCCAAAATTAGCCCACTGGCTGCATCATTGTAACAAATTCTGTGTATATATGTCAAGTAATGCCTCTGAATTGTGCACATTCAGACACCATTACATAAATGCTTGACGTTTTGGAATAAAAAAAAAAAAATGTGATTGTTTACAGACTATCACTCTTTTACCTTAAAATTATTTTATTTGAAACAATCTGGTGTTGCTAAGCAATTCTAACATAAAGTCCACTGAAACCCAAGATCTAATAGTACACGCAAATATAATTTGTTTTAACTTTTCTATAGAGAGTGGGATAGCTT